TCTCCTCATCCTCCCACTGACTCTCCAAGCCTTCTGGATCATCTGGACTCAGAACCCTCTGGATCTTCTTCAGCTCCTTCTTCACAAAACTAACAATGTTTTCCTCCAGCAACTAAACAGAACAATAAATGAAGGACACATCAGACTGAGATCATGGAGCCAAACATCAGATCCATGTTGGACAGACTGACAGTCCTCTGGTCTACAAAGTGCAGCATGGAGATGACTGTGAACAGAACCCATGGAGAAGTAGTTGTAGTTCATGTACAGACCATAAATATGGAGTCCAGCTGGGTTTGATGCTTCTGGGCAGATGGAGCACTGGGAACCTCTGAGTTCTGCTGGTTCCCTCTGTGGAGGAACATTTTGTATTTCAGACCAAACAGGTATAAGACAGAGCTGTGTGAGGTTCAGAACAGAGTAGAACCAGGTCAGTGTAGCTGGTTGCACTTGACATTAATTATGGTTGATTTAAGTTCAGTTACTGTTCTGTTGAGCCATTTTAAACCTCTAAGATATTTCTTTTGGAAATTTCTTTGTAAATATTTTTTTTGCACCCTTGTTTTTGGCAATGTATATAAACCACCTGCTACAATGGACATCTGCCTACTGCCTTCTTCAGCCACTTGGCCAGGCTATCTCACACACACCAAAGGAAACAGCACTTTCTACATCCCAACTAGGACTGGTTGGATTCTTTGGATAAAGGAACACACCTTGGACTTCATGAACTGTCATGACTGATTTGTCTGTAAATATTGTAAATATTAATATATGTCACTAATTTTGCACCATTCTTTTGTCTCTGTGTGTTTATAGAATGTTACCACTTTCTCCAGCAGTCGAACTTAAGAAAAAGCCTTAACTGATCAATTCATGAAAATATCAATGAAGGCAAGTTCATCAGACAGAGCAAAGTCCACGGAAGGTTAAAGGTTTACATCCTGAAATGAATATATTTGCTTCATTATAAACATGGCCCAACATCTGCAGAAAGCTAACAGGAGGATTCATAAGAGAAAATGTTGGACTCCGGTAAGAAAAAGGCTGCACCAAGACATTCCTAGATTAAAAACTGTTTTCATGTATATAAAAGAAAATCCCAGCTTAAATGTAAGATCTTAGATAAGATTTTTAAAGAAAAATAAGGTTAGGGTATTTCTACAGGTGAATTCTGTTTTTACTATATTCACCGCCAGTAAAATTGTCCCTCAATATTTGAACATTTCTATTTGTTTAAAGTGTCACATTTCGATCTTTGAGTTAAATACAATCAGCTAAAAAAGTGTAGCTCTTTAATTTAAAAGTTGTTTGATTCGACATGTGAATGAAAAGTGATTCAGAAAACTATCAGAAGCCCAAAATCAGGGACAAAACAAGCCTCTAGCACTAGATGTCCCGGAGAATTCCAGTTTTCCTGCAAGCCCCACTCCCCTCTTTAAGTTTGTGTATTCACTCTACCTTGCTAACTGTCCTTGTTGTAATGCAAATAACCTGTGATGTGACCAGACCTTCTACATGAGACTGGATAAGTCTGAAACAAACTGGCATCAGAACAAGAGCATGCTCCAAACACTTTTCATTACCTTCCCCTGCAACATCAGACCTTTTTTCAGGAATATGCTGATAAGTCATATCTAAATCTTTTATTTAGGCAAAGCTATTGAACAACCAGATATCATACGGATCCTAGTTCCTGAGCTGAGAACAGGTCAAAACCAGCTTTTCCAACAATGCAAGGCAGAGCCTATTTATATTGTTCATTCACCAACAGACTCATTTTTATTGCAAAGCTCACTATGTAAAAGAAACGTAGAGAATAACTGTATTTTGTCTTGTCTCGCCTTTTCATGTCATTTAACATTTCAGCTTAGAGAATGACAAACAGTATGATTTCAGTACTGGAGTAACATTATTTTAACCAAAGAAAAGAACTACATATGAAGCATTTGTGACAGGTATACTTTGTGCAGTGCACACAACGCTCAGTGCTGTGGTTCCTGTTGCAGAGATTATACACCTGGCCTTCTTATAATAACAATGAAAAAAAATATAGAGTTTAGCACATATTCTGAAAATAACAGTTGTAGTATGAACTAGATGAGGCTATCTATGTGTGCTACAAGTTTGGTGGCACTACAATGATCTATAGTGTAATTATTGGCTATTATATGCCTATAATAACAATGAATAAATCTCCAAAAATACAGTTTGGCCTATCTTCCCAAAGTAAGAAAAAAAAAAGAATGTTATAAGTGTAAATATAC